AACTCCAACGGATTCCAAACCAAAAACCCCCCCCCAGAGGCTTTTTTTTCGCAATTTTTTTTTTTTGCAATTTTTTTTCCCCCTCCTACGAATTATTATAAGGAAGCAACAAGTAACTGGAGCGTTGACCAATTTCCCCCCCCCCCACTTTCACCCCTTTCCCCTTTTTTTTTTAATCCGCTTTTAAATCAGTTTCCTTTTCCTTTTTTTTTTGTAAAATTCTCGGCGTTTAAAAAAAAAAAAAACTAACTCTTTTTAGAATTATTATTATTATTATTATTATTATTATTATTTTTATTTTTAAAAGCATTTTCCGGTTAAATTTTTTCTTAAATAAAAAAAGAAAAAAAAATATTCGTCAATTTAAACAATTTACCAACACATTTAGTTTTCTTATTTTGCGTTTTTTTTTTTTTTTTTTAATAATATTAATAACTTTTAAAAGTTTAAATTTTTAACATTAAACAATATTTTAAATTATTAACAATCCGCCATTTTGTTTTTAACGATTACTTAATGCGCGCAAAAAAAAAAAACAAAAAAAATGTTTTATTAAATCTAAATTGAAATTTTAAATGAAAATGTAAAATAATTTCATTCGCATATTAATTGTTTTAATTTATTTTTTTTATTTAAATTTTGTTTTTTTACTCTATGGTAATTATTTACCATTGTTTCGAACGTTTTTAACTCTATGGTTAATTTTTCATCACGTGATTTATTCACATGTATGCAATTTTCTTTGGGAAATTATATCGTGCAATATTTATTTTTAAAAAATTGAAGAAAAAAAACGAAAAAAAACGCGGATCGTAAATAATAATGATAATAATAATAATGATGATGGTGATGATAATGATGATGATGATGAGTTTTATTTAAAGTTATTTTAATAGGATATTTTGAAAATTGACAGGTAAACGAAATTTTCTTTTCAATTACGTCACGATAATTTTTAACGAATTCCTCTCTCTCTCTCTCGCGGCATTGTTTTATATAATAATAATAATAATAATAATAATAATAATAAATAATAATAATAATAATAAATAAATAAAACTTTGTGTTAAATTTAATCCTTTTGTTTAATTAATTGAAAATCATCCGTTTTGAATTATTCACGTCAATTACACGGAAATTAAAAAAAAAAAAAATTATATAAAGAATATCATCAACGGTTAAACTCAATTTAAAAAAAATATTAATTTGACATATTTCGAATCGGCCATTTTTTTTAAAAAAAAAAAAACCGTTACCGTTTAAAATTTAAATTATCGTTCTCGAATGTTTTTTTTTTTTTCCCCGATATCACGTGCTCATTGTAAAATTTTCGCGAAAACGTTACTATTATTATTATTATTTATTATTATTTATACTCCGTTAAAAAAATTTATTTATTTATTATTTGCCAACAAAAAAAATTTATTATTCTCCGTTTCGTAACGTAAATCCTCGGATTTATTTATAAATAAGCTCGATTAGTTTCATCCAAAGCCAAAAAATTAAAAAAAAAAAAAAAACAAAAAATCGTTAATTTTGTTTATTAAAAAAAAAAAATTTAAAGTTAAATATTAACAAATCACCTGATATTAAAAAATTATTAACAAATGAAATATAAATAAAATTTTTTCATTCGTAAATTTCACACAAAAATAATAATAATTTACCACGGTTAAATAAAATTCATCGAATTTACCGTTTTATTATTATTATTATTTATTTCATCGTTTTAAACCGGATATGAAAAAAAATTTATAATGATAATAATAATTTTGTCGAAAGGTAATAAATCATCGTCAATTTTTTTTTTTATTATAATAATAATAATAAATCGATCGTTGAATATTTACATTTTAACTTTTTTTTTTTTTTTGTTTTTTTTTTTTTATTGATAATAAAACATTTTTAATAAAAAGTATGTCAAAGGAAAAAAAGGAAAAAAAATTATAAACAAAAGATTTTTCTTTTTTCTAATTCATTTTAATCAATTTAATGAAAGGAAACAAACAATTGTATAAACAACCGGATATAATCCTTGACTTTGTTGTATAAAATGATTAATTTTTTTTCTCTTTCCTCTCTCTTTCTCTCTTTCTTTCTTTCTTTCTCTCTTTATTTATTTATTTATTAAATTAATTAATTAATTCGATTTAATCTTTATTTTTCTATCGCCATTAATGTCGTTAAAAGATTATTGTGCGAATAATTTATTTATGATACTATCATCGAAAAAAAAATTATTATTATTATTATTAAAATCATTTGATTTGTTATTCGAACAAGAGAATTTAATTGAAAATTTTCCAAACAATCGAGTAAAGAAGGAAAAATAAAAAAATTTTATTTAACTTTTAAAAGTCTTTAATAAAAAATTGAAAATATAAAAACTAATTTATTTTTTCCAATATCGAAATCGAAAAAAAAAAGAATTTTGTCACGATTCTGTGTGATTTCGTTTTTTGTTTTTATTTATTTTTATTATTGTTGACATAAAAAGGAAATAAGAAGAAAAAGGAAAAAAAGAAAAGTGATAAAAGTTTTCCATTTAAAATATATTTGATGAATGGGCATTATTATAAAATTTAATTTATAAAAAAAAAAATTTTCACGAAAAATCTGCGAAAATTAATCGCGTGGAATTTTACATTAAATGATATAAAAAAAAGTTGCGATGATAAAAAAAAAAGATGATGATAATAATAATAATAACACCAGACAAAAGGTTTTTTATTGATTTTAATAACAAACTTTTCTTTTCTTTTTTTTTTTTTTGCAAAAATTTGAGTATTATTGATTTTTTTAAACGCGGGAAAATATACATATATATATATTTTTATTTACATCTCATTTTCTTTTCCTTTTTCTCCTTTTTTTGTCGGCATTAATATTTTTATTTTCTTCTATCACGTTTTTATTTATAAACAAATATTATTTTTTTTTTTAGTCTTTCGCCATTTTTTTTTTTTTTTTTTTTTGAATCTTTTTCAATGAATATTATTAAAATTAAACGAATTTTCCTGTAGAATTTATTATTTATTTATTTTTTTATTAAATGAAAATTTAAAGTTACTTTAAAAAAGGGTAAAAAAAGCAAAAAAAAATTGATTTATTTAATTAATTATTTATTTATTTTAATTAATAATTTATAAAATTTTAATTAATAACGTTTGTTTATACAATTTTTTTTTTTTAAATATTTTTTTTTTCATCGTAATGAAAAAGAACAAAAAGGTCGTCGTAGTAATTTCGAACAGTTCGAACGTGAATTCCATTGATTGTAGCAAAAAAAAAATATTATTATTATTATTGATATCGAAAAATAATATAATTTAGAGCAAAAAAAATAATCGCTACGTACAATATTCGCGTGTATTATTAAACAAAAAAATTTTCTCGTTTCGATATTGGAAAATGTAACGTAAAACAAACGTTTGTTTTGTTTATAATAGAAGTGAATAACAACAACAATTTGTAACAAAATTAAAATTTTATTGGAAATTTAACAACAACAAAAAAAAAAAAAAAATGGAGGAAAATAACTAGGAAAATTTTGATCGATTTGTTTTTAAAAGCAGAATGAAAATTTTTTTTTTTTAAATTGTATTTTATAATAATTTTTTATCCCCCCATTATTTATTTATTTGAAACAAACAAACAAACAAACAAACAAATAAATAAATAAAACAATGGGTATTTAACAAAGAGGATTTAAATTGTAATGTTTAATATAAATAAAACAAAAATCGATTATTATTATTATTATTTGGCTTATATCGATTTGATTTTAACGCACACACAAAAAATTAAAAAAAAAAAAAAGTTAAAGTTTTCAAAATTTAAATTTTAAATTTTTTAGGAAAATTAGTTTAAAAATTTATTTAAACAATCGGTTGTTTTGTTTTCATTGAAATGAATTCAAAAAAAAAAAAGAAAAATTTATTTTTAGGTTTAAAAATTTTCCTTTGATTTCACTTTCGACAAACGTTTTTTTCTTTTTTTTTTTTTTTTTTTTTTTTTTTTTAATTGGCAATAATTTGAATTAAAAATAAATTTTATAATAATGTTTTCTTTTTATTTATATTTTATCTTTTTTAAATTTAAATGATCTGTAAAAAAAAAAAAAAAAAAAAACAAAGAAAGTATTAAGTTTAAATTAAATTTTTTGTTGTTGTTGTTTTTGTTTTGGTTTTAGACGGCTTTAAGTTACATAGCATCAAATGGAACGTTAAAAAATTTAAAAACAATATTAAAACTAACAAAAATTGATGTGAATAAACAAGATAACGAAGGTAACACGCCTCTTCATTTCGCATCTCAAGCAGGTAATGGCGATTTAAATTTTTTTTCATTTGAGAAATTTAATTACTTTTTTTTAATAGAAAATTATTTATTATTATTATTATTTTTTGAAATGAAAAGGTCAAGTTGAAGCCATTAATTACATGCTCTCGATATGTCCGAATGTTGAAATCGACGCAAGAAATTCATTAGGTTTTACACCGCTTATGAAAGCTGCACTTCAAGGACGTACAAAATGTGCTAAACTTCTTCTTTTTGCTGGTAACCTAATAGAATTACTTACTTACATTCGCGGTTAAATTAGGTGCTTATAAATTTTATTTACGATTGTTTAGGAGCATCACCAAGCCTGAGGGATTCCGGAAGAGGATTAAAAGCAGAGCAATGGGCAAGATTTTGCGGACGTTACGTTTGTGCTGAAGTTATAGAAAAATTCACGAAACAAAAATTTTCCGATAAAAGTATAAGTTTAGGAAAATGGGGAAGCGAACCGGAATTAGATGAAAAAGTCAAAAATTATGTAAATAAAAATTTTTTTTTCTTTTTTTTTAATTTTAAAAGTAAAAATTTAAACCTTTTGATTTTTCTTCCTTTTTTTTTTTTTTTTTTTATTAGAAACCTCATTTTATTCCAAATTTAGCAAGTTCGGGTATTAAATCGAGATTGCGAAAAGCTTTTAGGACAATATCACATCCGGGACCGGAAGTGAATGGAAAACCTTATTCGGTTGTCTCTCAGTTAACAACTGTTGCTTTATGTGCAAGTACTCCAGTTTTACAATCGAGTGTGTCATCCAATATAAAATCATTAATGAGACCGTTAGCCGTTCCAAAAGTCGAAGTATAGCAAAATAAATAATTTCATTTTTAAATTTTTAAAAAAAAATAATTTGGATAAATTAAATTAATTTTTTGTTTTAGGTAACTTTGGCACCGAATCATAATAATAATGATAATTTCGAAACGTCTCTTCAACATTCCTCTTCTTCTACATCAATAAAAGATAAATCAACGAGCAGTTTTTCATATCGAATAAAAAAAAAAAAATAAATTCAAACACGATTAGAAAACCATTCAACAACAACAATTGTCGTCGTTGATTTTCGAAAAAATTAAAATGGTGATATCAGGTGGCGTAATATAAATTCAAATTTTTTCAAAGTAATTATAAAAAAAAGTTTTGTATACCGTAAAAAAAAAAATATATATATTACTCTTTCTTAATTTATTTTTACAAAAGGAAATCAATTCGAAAAAAATTAATTTTTGCAAACTCATCCTCCACATCTCTTATTTATCACGAATTTAAATAATTTTCTATTCTTTCTAATAAATCGGACTTCTTTACTTTTGATAGATTTTTACCGAGGCCAACAGATTTAAGAAATGCTTTTAAAACATCGTTCGTAAGTCTTTCTCCCTAGAAAAAAAATTATTATTATCAATATTATTATTTTTCTCGATCGTAAATTTATTTAATAAATGAAAAACTTGCCTCTCCCGCTTTAATTAATTCTTCAACATTTTTAATGTCGATTGCAGGTCCAGGTTTTGATGATTTGCCGGCGGATGATTTTGATTTTTTGGGTGCACCGTAAATTTCAGGATCGTAATCATTTGGATAAACAGCTTCCGTGAATCTTTTAGCTAAATCTCCCGCTCTAGCAGACATCAACTCATAATTCGGGTCTGTAAATTTTATCATTATCTTTGTCTCAACCTTTTTTTTTCAATTCCGTATAAATAAGTAAAATACCATACAGGTAGAATCGTTCGTTTCTTCCGGTTCGGGTAAATCTAATGCAAGAGCCTCAATGGCTGACCAATGAGCTTTTAATCTCGGGTTTTGAAAACATTCAACGTTATATTTAAATTTTAATTTTTTTATAAATTTCTTTGCTATTTCCACTTGTTCGGGTTCTGCTCTTTTCGTAGAGACATCCTCATACGGTCGTACTTCCTCTGAAAATTAAATTGGTGTAATTTAAAATTAAATTACTAATAACTAAAAATTTTTAATAAGGAAATTACCGGCAAATGGTAAAAAAAAAACGACAAAGCCTTGACGCAAATCTCTACCGACAATAGAATCTGAACATTCGTTTTGACCAATTAAAGCCACAAATCGACACGCGGATGTTTTTCTTAAACAAAGCGTGCATATTGGTACGACTTGTTTTGCTATGCAGCGGTTTAAAAAAGCAGCAAAAAACACTGAGCTCCCTAAAAAAAAAAAAAATTAAGAACAAACGCAAAATTTTCTTTTTAAATTATATCGTACAATAATTATCATTTTAATCGATTTAAAATCAACCTTTATAAGTATAATCGTCCGGATATATAAATGCACATGGCTTTATAAAATTTTCAAGCGTAATTACAGATGCAGGTTTAAATCCCAATAATCGAAGTTCTATTTTTCCACTTTCCGATATCATTTTTAATTCAGGCTAAAAAAAAAAAAGGTTTTTGATTTATTTTTACATTTAAAAGTATTATTTCATTAAAAATGGTGTAAAAGTCATACCAAATTGAAAGTGATTTCTTTTTGCCCTACAATTTGAGATTTTAAAATATCATCATCATTTACAACAGTTCCCGTTTCAGTTTCAAACATTTGCATTTTGGTGTAAACTCTTTCATTTGTCGACTTACTAAGTTTTACTTTAAAAGGAAGTTTAACTTTCCTAATAAAAAAAAAAAAAACAAAAGTTAAAATTTTTTAATGAAATTCTACATGTAAATAAATAAAAGTTTTAATAGAGGAAAAAAAAAAAATTACTTTGCAAGAAAATGAATCGATATGCCAATTTGAAAATCTTCACCTATTACAAAAGGTAATTTTACTAATGTAACATGTTTAAAATTAATTTTATTCATTCTATTTTCAATTTCCTTTAAACTACTGACTGGTTTAGAATGTACATAATTAACATTATCTTGCGAAGCTTTTAATAATTTCTAAAATTTTTTTTTTCTTTAATATATCACTCAATTAAAAAAAATCTTTAAAATATACAGTATGAATGTAAAAGAAAATATTTACACTGTAAAACTTATCAGTATCAAAACTTTCTCCCAATTGAATAACATCTAAAAATATATGATTTTTTTTCATATCTTTTGCACTTGTCATGGCTCTGTTATAATCATTATTTTGATCAGTTACACCATCATCATCGTTAGTTAAAAATAATATACTCTTATTTAATTGTTGAGACCTTGAAGCAATATAAAACAATTATAAAAATACTATAATGCTTTAAAATTTATCTAAAATAAAATTTATTAATCACTTTTCTCTAAAAATATGCATTGATAACCAAAATGCATCCCCTAATGAAAAACTTTCGAAACCAAATTTATTTTCATAGGAAAAATTTTTTACATCTGAAAAAATATAAGGTTTAGTTTTTTAAATGTAAAATTAATAAAAACAAGAAAATAATGAAAAAAATGTGAAAGTACTAAAAACCTTCAATTATTTCATCAATTTTCAAAATATGTTTGGCTCCTAGTAATTTAAAATCTTGTATTATAAAAATATTATCTAAATTTAATGGATTATTATTTTGTGATGTTCCTAAAAGCATTACTCCACAGTAGCATTTTTCTTCATTAAATATTTTTTTTCTAATCGTATTTCTAATGCTCTAAAAAAAAATATTTTTGATAAATTTTTTATAGGTATTTTATGTATGGGTATTTATCAATAGGTATTTTTATATAAAATTTCAAAATTACTTCTAAACAACATAACATAGCACATTTGTTTTCGGTTAATTGTAATTTAAACATTTTTTCCCTGGCATCGATTAAGAATAATAATGCTCCGGTTTTATGTTGATATTTATTTTTTTTTCTATTGCTCGAATTATTTTCCTCTTCTTCTTCCTCCTCCTCCTCCTCAAAATTTTCAATGTCGTAAAATACTTTTTTCATTGTAAATAAATAAATAAATAAATAAAAAAAGGACCTAAAAGGAAATTTACGTTTTGACGTTCGTTGGAATTAATAGATAATTAGAATTGCCAACATAAAATTTAAAAGTTGGCAATACATTTAAACAGTCTGGATAATCCATTGTTAATAAAACAGTTGTGTTTAATAATTATCAGTTACTAATTTTTTTTTTTGTGAAAATAAAAGGTGAAGAAAAAAACAACGGATTTATTAGTAAGTTATTATTATTATTTTATTTATTATTTTTATTAAAACACTAATTTAAAATTTTAAATTCAACTTATTTCGGAGAAAATGAAATAAATATTTTCAATGTCTTCATATTGTTTAAAATATTAACAAATGTCTACCTTGTTAAAAAAAAAAAAAAAATTTTTTTTTAGTAAAATCACACAAAAGATTTATATAAATTAAGTTTAAAACATAAAAATTTCATTTATACATTTACAAAACTAAAAAATTTCAGTTATAATAAAAGCATTAAATAAATAAAACACAATTAAAATTCTTAATTTTTTACATTCTCAAGTAACTACAAGAAAAAAAGCATTTTAAAAAAAATTCAAAAGTTTTTTTTTTTTATTTTAATTTTTATTCACTTTTTTTCAACAGACAACACATCATAATTTCATTTTGATTATAATTATTATTATTATTTTTCATTTATTATTGTAGAAAATTACTAGACAAGTTTTTTATCGACTAAAAAATTATATTAATAATTTTTATATATTTATCAAATAATTACTTACATAAATATTTACAAATCTAAATCTAAAGAAATTTGGAAGAATTCAAAGGCTACAATTTAATGCATAAATTAAATAGAGTTATTTAATTGTTTCTTTATTCGTTTAATTATTTATTTATTTTTGTGCAATTTCACATTAAATTATTGCTTTGACAATTAAAACAAAAACTATTTTATACTTTTTTTTTTTTTTTACAAAATGAATTTTAAAATATATTATTTCAAGCTATTTAAAAAATAATTTGCCAATGTTTTTTCATAATTAAAAAATAAAAATAAACTTGTCGAGTAGTTTACAAATCTCAACATTATTGGGATTTGTAATTTCTTTTTATTGTGATTGTCTGTGGCCAAATAAATTTATTATTATTATTATTATTTTATTTATTAAGTCAGGCACATTAATTCATTGGCTAAAATTACAATTTTTCATTTACTTATTTATTACTTTACATCATTTTAACCGAATGTTTTTCACACATTTTTTCATTCATTTATTTTCAAAATTACCAACATTTAAAAACTCATTTATTTAAAACTAAATTATTAAAATTAAGTACAAATTAATTATTTTAAATAATTTAAATCAAATATTGTTTATGTACAATTTTTTACACAGTTTATTATTGTGATACAAAAAATTTATATTAATTATTTATTAATTAATTATGTAAATATGAAAAGTAGCCATTTTATTTTTTTTTTTGCTTACAAATTTACTGAATTTTAACAATGTTTGTAATTTTACAATTCTATAACCTTGCATAACTACTACTTAGTTTTCTACTTAAAATATTATTGGTCGTTGTTTTTTTTTTTTTTTTTTTATTGAAATCATTTAGTTTTTACATTTCAAAATTTATCTCACCACCATCAACCATTTTTCAACCCTGCTATATTTAAAAATTTTAAAAATTATACTTTGAAATTAAATGAATGATAATTTTTTTTTTAAAAACAAAAAATTAATTATTGAAAAAATCAAAACAAAATATTGTGATGAAAAGCTCCTTTGATTGGCACTTTTTTGAAAAAATTTTTAGGAAATTTAAAAAAAAAAAAAAAAAAACATAATTTAATACAGTTTGAGCGAAATTTTTTTGTAAATATTATGTTCAGTGCATTGATGGGTCATATCCTAAATTATGTCCTTTTAGAAAATTATAAATTTTTTTAACCGTTGGCCTCTCCGATTCATCTCTTTTCCAACAGTGACATAACATATTGTACAATTCATTATCACACAATGTCGGCTTAGGAAGTAAAACCTTAAAAAATAATTAATTAAATTTATATAATGTAATTAACGTATGACGTAAAATTTCTCTTTTAAATTTGTTTTTACCTTTAATTCTTCACCGTAGTACATATGCTCAGCGTTTTGTATAACTTCTTCGTTGGTCATATGTTGAAAAGGCCTTTCTCTCGCTAAACTTACGACTTCCCAAATAGTTACAGCTAGAGACCACACTCCACTAGAGCACGTGTATCGGTCTAGTAAAATGCTTTCCCAAGGCAACCATCTAATTGGTGCTGGAGGACGACCTCCTATTTCGCTGTAATCTTTTTTGTACATGGGTGAACACATAGCTATATCGGCTACTTTAATTGAATAATTGGTTCCCACTAAGCAGTTTCTAAAAAAATCAATTTTACCCGTATATTTAATAATAATGATAAAATTTAAACTAATTCGTTCCAATTTTATTTAAGAAAAAAAAGAAAATTTATTTAATTACCTGGCAGCCAAATC